TCCAGACACGTCGGGTCATGCACGCGTCGTCCCAGCCCGAGCGAAGGACGCGCCACGAAAGTGGTGTGGAGCTCCACGAACGGAATGTCCTCAAGGCGGCTGACGCCGTTAGGAGCGGCGATACCTCGCGCTGTGGGGCATGGGAAGTCACGTGCCAGTCCCCGACGCTACGTGCAAGCGGTCGACCACATGATTGGACGAACCCATCAAGTGCCAAGTGTAGGGCGTACGTACATTTTTCCTCTAGTGTGAGTTCCTTTCCCCTTAATTCCTACTTGCCTCCAAATCACCACCTGCATACTAAGCCAAATTGCATTCACAAGTGACAACATACACACACACATATATATATATATATAAGTAATATTTTGTTTCAAGGGCACAGATGATGATACTTTCATCATAAAGGAACAATGTGCACTTGCCTGTAGATAATAAGAAGCCTTTATAAGCTCTTCAACAGAAGAGTTTGATACACCTGCTCTCAAGATAGCTCCCAAGAGATTTGTGCTTGAACCAACTTTTATAGCCTCAAATTTAGAGAAGGTGCAACTTCTTTTATCTAACAAGAAAGTTAATTAAGAAACAACTTAATATAAATTAAGTTCAACCAAATCAAAACAAATAGAAGGATGTGGAACTGAGTGGAAAAAGATAAAAATATATGCACTTTAAGTGTTTTCCTAGATTAGTCTCTCAGTATGGAAAATACATCAGTAGTCCAGTCCTCCTTCAACACACTGGAACATCTCTTGCTCACTAATTTCATGAGACAGACAGTCTACCAACTTTGGTTTTCAAGAGTCCCTTATGATACCTCCACATTAAAGAATACCCATCGATTCCTAAAGGGAAATAACTGAGAAAATTTCCACGTCCTGACATTGCTGAGTCTCCTCAACCACATAAATCTTTTGTGGCAGTACAACCTCAGAAATGGAGTGACTGTTTTGCCTTGGAATGTGGCAGGTGGTCCAGAAACAAAACCACTTAAAAGACTGATGTACATCGACTTTAAGGTGACGATGAGGCTTTATAACATTTGCTTACCCCAGAAGACAAAAGATCAAAAGTGGAGTTACCCTTTACATCTCAACCTCTCCCATATCTCCTTTTCAACTTTCTGAATATTGAGTGCACATATATTTGTGGTGACCAAAGAATCTTTGCATCTTTGCTTACCATCAAGGAAAGAAAAAACCAAAAGTGGATCAACCTTTTAATCTCATCCTCTCTTTCCATCACACACTCAATTTTTTAAGTGACATAAAAGACCAAAACTGGATCACCTTTTTGACATTAGCCTCCCCCTTTTCTCCTTCCATTTCTCATTTCAATTGATTCTCGTGGTGAAAAATGTGCAAAAGAAATGGATAGACATGATATGTTTCCAAGGAAAAGAAACCAGTATCACTTAAATTTCCTTGTGGTGTTCCTTGGTACAATTGTTAAATATTTTCAGGTGCACTAGCTCAATTTTGTATAAGTTTTTAAGCTTAGAAACAAAGATTAGATATCTATTATTTTTGCTTAAGATGATAATGTTAAAAATATAGTTGAGATCTTACCCCTTTTTAGGAGAGAAATATTTGAGATTTTAAGCTTGTCACTCAAACTAGGATTGAAAGTTGAAGGATGAAAAAAGAGTCATCCATGAGTCATATTATGGTGGTATCTGTGATCTGAGAAGGATGAATGTCTCAGAATGAGTGTGGTATCTGTTCACTGTAAAACAGATGAGGAAAGAACATTGGAATATAAATGTAGAATCTGACAATGACTTCTAGAGGACCCCCCCTGATTGAATGATACTAATGAAGATGGAGACACAGAAAAAATAGCTTGATTTGAAATGTGCAATGCTGCTTCGCTTGTGGGTCTAATCTGTCATGTCTTGGGGCACTTTGTTTTGGAGCTGCAAGTGTCATTCTAAACTATTGTCGACATTTTTGTTTGTTTATCTTTTGATGATACTGGTGTTCTGTAAACAGTTTCAACATTCCATAACTCACTTAGTTTCTGTCTTCATCCATTTAGAACATGGAGCAAGCTACTTTATAATAATTTGTCTTGTCTTTGTTGGTATTTCTTGTGGAACAGTGGAATAGGACCATAGAGCCACAAAAAGTTGTGAGGCTCCAAATGTTTGATATTATGGAAAGGAACACAACAGTAGTCCGGTTTGCCTGTGATCCAGGTCTCCAATGAAATGAAATGGATGTTGGGCAAATTTTCTTGATGAAAAAGGTTGAAATGACAGCTTTCACTGTTGAGATGTAAGCTCAGTGATGACACAAGGACAGGATGCAACTTCAGAGATCCAAAACGAGTCTACCATGGTTCGTTCATCTAATATCAATATGCTAATCTGATCATTTTGGGTAGGTCAGAAAAAAAAGTCCCCTCCATTTGTGTTCTTTTCTTTATTTATTTTACCTTTTCTTTTACTAGTATATTGTTGGAGGATATAGAGGGAGAAGGGAGGAGCACAGAAGTAGAGAATTGTAAATGTGTCAAACATGTGCTCCTCGATATAGGAACACAACAAAATTTTCTATATTTGGTATGGCTTTTGTCTCACTTGTACAGCTGCAAGCTTCTGGTGACCAATTATGTTTCCTTGGAATAAAAAGATCAGATTGTTGAGATTTTAGATGTTGTAATCTCCCAAGCTAGCTTGGAAAGTTCAGGATTGCAGAGAGAGACTGATGATGTACAAGAGCTCGGAGAGCAAGCCCAAACAAATCAGCAGTGCTTGACTTGGTTGACGACCAGACAATTTCAACAGGATGATGATCTGCATTCCACAGATCTTCTAATGTCAACATGAGAAACCACCTTGTCGGAATGGACAATTTCAACAGGATGATGATCTGCAGAGAGAGACAGCACACATGATGATGTACAAGAACTAAGATTGGTCCTCTCCAGTACATGAATGGTCAAGATTTGAGTAACAAAAACAATCTTCCCCTAGGTTTTTTTCCCCTTTTAACCTCGGATATCCTCTCTTTAACTTTTTTCCTTCCTATTATATATGTATTCAAAAGAAATTTTCAAATAACTGTGAGGGATATTTGAAGGATAAAAGATTAATTGAAAATAAAGGATCCTCATTGGCCAGATCTCAGAGGCAGTTTGGGGTTTGGACACCATAAAGCCAGGTCCATCTAAGGGGCCAAATAATCCCACTTCTCATGAATCTGACCCATTTCTTGCTGGAGCCAGACTTGGTTTCCTTCTATAAGACCAGGGTCTTATATCTTGGTCAACCCAAGCCCAAGTTTCAGGTTGTCCAAAAATTACATTTAAATGATCATAAGTTGCAAAAGTTCTCTAATTGCTGCTAGACAATATTAAGTCTAGAACAGGAAAATGTAGATGATGCATGAAATTAGATAAACTTGTATGCAGAATATCAAATAAATGTTTTGTCAAATTAGACAAGCAAACAAGAAACTCAAACAGGAAAACAGTCACGATATGCCCAGGAGCAATAATCAATACAATCTGCAGCAGGAAGAAAAGAGTAGATAAGAGCATTTGAAATATAATAATGGATCTAAATGGAGGAAGTAAAAAAGTATGATTGTTCAATTTGCAAGCATGTAGTCAGTTAAGTGATAGGACAGAACAGGCCTATAACTTTGAAGGCAAACAAGATGATATTTTCAAGACATACCAGAATCAAAATCTAGACCCATACCCTAGATAGGCGGGACGGTCCCATGATTTCCATGACAATCTATATTCCTTATGTCAAGGGTTACTCGCAAAATTAATTTACAGTTTATCTATTGAACTCATGCATTATGATCCAATAGTATAAAAACCTATCCAATTTTTGAAAGCATAATTTTCATAATGAAGATAAATTGTAATATCATTTTGCATTGGAAACTCTTACGAGATTTTCCACAACTTTTTTCGGTAAACAAAAATTGAAAACTTTTGACTATTACAGGAACCTTTGTTTCAGAAGTAATGACCGATGGCCAAAACATAGTAACATAAATTGTAAAAATCACATACTAATTTAGACAAGCAGTCTCAACTTGCGCTAGCTAAATGTTCTAAATACATAACTTAGAGGCACAATACAGCACTAGAAATTAACAATAACAGGCGCATTTATTTCTATATCATAGTCAAGTTTAGTAGGCAGGTCCTCTTATAAGCTTAATTTAAAAAGAAACTAGAATCCCCATAATATCAAGAATAAAACTTTACCTATAGCCATAACATTAACGATCCATTTAGGAAGAATCAGAAAGTAAATGCACCAAATTTTCGAACTTGGGAAGAAAAGACGCAGAGTGCAAACCCCCGATGATCTAACGGTAAGACTTCTGGAAGCGGGCACGAGCGCCCCGGCCACCGAACTTCTTGGGCTCGCAGCGGCGGGGATCGGCAACGAGGAGTGTACGGTCATAGCGGACAAGGATGTCTTTGATCTCCTTCTTGGACTGCTCATCAACGTACTTCTGATTGAAAGCTACGATAGCCTTGGCGATGCTCTGGCGGATGGCGTATATCTGGGAGGTCTTGCCACCACCGCGCACGCGGATGCGGAGGTCGACACCCATGAAGCGCTGCCGCCCGAGAAGGAGGACGGGCTCGAAGGCCTTGAGGCGGAGGATCTCCGGCTTCACCAGCTCGATAGGCACCCCGTTCACCTTGATCAGCCCGCGCCCGCGCTTGCAGTGCGCCACCGCTACCGCCGTCTTCTTCCGCCCGAAGCACTGCACCGATTCCACCGTCGCCGCAGCCATCGCCACCGCTAGAGCTCCAATCAGATCGAAAGACTAAGAACGACACCAAACCCTAAAAGTCCCAATAGGTAGCGGCGCAGAACTCCGGCCTTGGTTCCTTATATCGGTTGACGCGAAATGGACGCATTCGATTACTCTTCGGGTCAGGATCCGAATCAAGATGCGAATCCGGTAAACATTCGCGGGATCCAAATGCGCGTTTGAGTTCCATAAGTTTCGGATTTGCAAGCAGTCTCCACACCAGATCCGGAAACGTTGCTCATCGTTTTCCACCAATAACATCAGACAGCCTTCGTATCGAACAAAGAACTGCCACGTACGACATGGGACCCAATTGATCCGGTCCTCTCGTTCTCGCCGTCGTGGGAGATATTTCGGTCATGAAACTCCCAACGGCTGAGCGCCGGAGGCAGCTCCTCTTTCCGCCAAATCGAAACCCTAACTCTATTCCTCCCTTCTTCCTGCTCTCAGGATGAGCAATCTGAGAGCAATTTGCCGCCGGTACGCCGTCATCTACTCGATCTACTGCTGCAGAAGCCACGGCCGCCTAGGTTTCGTGCCATCCGCGGGGTATTCTGATCTCCGGCTCCCGTCCCCTTGTTTTGCATCATCTCCTTTTGTCGTCGATGACGCCCCGAGGATGGGGCCGGGGTCGCGCGCTAATCCGAGGAGGACGATCACCAGGGTCTCCAATTGGAACTCCGAGAAATCACGTCATGAGACTCTTGGTAATTTCCCCAAAGATCATTTCTTCGGCTCTTGTCCAGAAAGTAACTTAGATTTTGTATTCAAAATTTGATCTTTTTACACTTTTAAGATCTGCTTGTTTGAACGAATAAAGTAATTAAGGACAAATATGTTAGCATTTGATCAGCGTGGATATATGGCAGTTGCTGCTTAGGCTGAACAACAACAATGTTAGATGAACCTCCAAGCGCATCTTCTCTGTTGATCAAAGGTTTATAAGCATGTTACATTACTCGACATGAATTTGCCTTGGAGCTGCTTGATTACTGTCAGATGATTATATTGTCTAATGCCTCATTTATATATCACTGAATATGTATTTTATTGAAAAAAAGGAACTAATTGGTGTTGCTTGACAAAACTCTTTGCATGCCATTTAATTGAACTTGTTAAATTCTTTTGACATCTGCCTAATTAATTCCTTTTCTCCAATCAGGTAACTAGTTATATCATTGATTTACTTTATATCTTATTTTGCTTTTAGATGGTTTTACTCCTGACACTCAATGATATCTGTTTCTTAATTTGTTCTGAAACTTGTGAACGACTCTGGATATTATCAGTAGAGCGGCTACTAAGCCATATTTTCATATGTTCTATGCATGCTTTCTGGATGGGTAGCATCTTGAGAAGAACTTGCTTCGATAGGATCTTACCATGAGTAAAGTACATTTTGGATAGATAGTATTAGAACAACTTTCAAGGCATAGCATCTTAACTATTTATGTTTTTTCCTGGATTGCGAGAATCCATCTAGAACTATAGTGTACATGTTATGATAGGTAACTCTGTTAAAAAATTTTACTTTGTCATAGCTTTAACCCACTCTACTCTTATTTCCTTCCCTGAAGTTCTATTTTTAGGCTACCATATCAGCTGCAAAATAGCATGCAGCATGGTTTGAACTGTGCAAACCATGGTCACTGAGGCAGTGGGGGTCATGTCATACATTGTGTTGAAGCACTATGAAACATTAAATTTCAGCTTTTGTTTGGCTGTAATCCAGACGTTGTTTCAGTGTTACTATTCCATTTATGTTTACTAGCACCTTTCTGTATCCTTCAACTGTTTTGCATTGCCAAAGATCCCTTGTGTGACTGTCTTCTAGTCCGCAGTTTTACCTTATGACCGCCATTTTACATGTTTATTGGAAGCATCACTTTTCTTCTTGTTAGTCTCGCTAGCACTTCTGGGATGCATCTTCCTTGTGGATAATTCTAGCATATTTCAGATTAATCTCGAGGAAGAGAGAAATATTTTGGCATAGGAGAAGAAGGCATCCATGGAGTACTTCTCCAACACCCTAGAAAGGTGTACACTCGTCTATAAGAAGCGAGATCTGATGCGAGAAAAGGCCGAAGATGACAACACAAGGGACATCACTCAACTTTTAGCTGCAGAAGACCTTGAGCTCGATACAGACGATGACGAGGCTGTATGAGTTGCTTAGTTGTACATAGAATTCTTGTCGCCTTGTCATGGGGAAATCTCCATCTAATATTCTATGACTATACCCAAAGATGTATATATCATTGTTTCTTGATTTATAATGTGAAAATTGAAATCAGTCTCTTATCAAGATGATTGGAACTTCTTGCGATCTAATTGAGATCTGTCATTGAAGAAGTACAAATGTATATAATTGGAACTTCTTGCGATCATGGGGAAATGTCCATCTAATATTCTATGACTATACCCAAAGATGTATATATCATTGTTTCTTGATTTATAATGTGAAAATTGAAATCAGTCTCTTATCAAGATGATTGGAACTTCTTGCGATCTAATTGAGATCTGTCATTGAAGAAGTACAAATTGTTCTGATTTGCCTGAAGCTCTGATATGAATAAAATCTTGTCTTAAAGAAGAAAGCAGAATTGTATTAGACTCAGTAAAACTATGCTTTTGACCATAACAATAAGATTTCTAGTTATTGGATGTGCAGAACATAGAAATCTACTCGATTAGAAAATAATACCTAATAGGTCACCCTCAACCTGAACTCAATACGTGGTATCCACGTCAGTAGAAAAAGATCGCTTATAAAAGGCAAGTTCTTCAAGAGTCTGACTTGAGCATCATAGGGATTACGTCGGGAAACCCTACCCACCATTGGTATCAGTATAGTTCGACAAAACATCGAGCGTTATGAAGCCCTTTGGACAAAACTAAAGGAGCAAATTGGATTGGTCAACCACCCACCAACACATCATCAGGTGATGGCATATGGTCAAGACTAATTAAATATGCCCAAGGGATTGAAGCGTTCTTGCACCATCGCCTTAAGCTTATTTGCCTCTAAGTTGCTCCCTTGGTAGGTGTCGCCTAAAGACGTTGATGTTGTTAATGCTGCCGCCCTACAGGTGTGAGCGAAAGCTATGGTCTACGATTCATTAATGCATTGATTTGAAGATAACATAAGCAATATAAAATCATAGCTATAAGATTAACTACATAGGATATAGTGAGGATTAGTATAGAAATAAAGACAAAGTGAACCAACCTTCCACACACACGAATAGATGTGTTAATCATATTATCGTATTATTACACAATTGATATATCTAAAGTATGTAGTTTATTGTGATGCTACCTCATGAATTTTATCCTAGATTGCATGGCCATCCAAAACTCACATATGCCCTGGTGATGATACACTCATTTAGCCCTATGACATTGGCTATCATGGTCACTTGGGGTCACTGATCTCATGATGGAATTGACCTTATCAGTAGCATAATGTGAGCATAAAGTTGGAATTTTTTACTTAGTTGATGCACTTTTTATGCTTCCCATTCAACTTATATTACGTAGACACACATTTATTAGGCTCAGTGATGACTACCAAACTTGTTTTCTTTAGTGTTCGGATTAAAAGATCCAAAGGTATTCCATACGCTTAATGATGATTATTGACTTTAGGTATCCAAAAGGAGGTAAAGGTTGATGGATGACATGCTCAGATTGACTTGTTTTGAGGTCATCAGCTGATGACAAAGACTTGTGTGGAGCAAATACAGAAGTCCAAGGTGTGCCATGAGAAATTTTACCTCCTATTAATGCTAAAAGGATGTGAAGGCCACAATTGACTTCCACACTTGTATGTTCCATGTCAAGTTCCTGTTGGGAGCTTGTGGAGGAAAAATGTCATGTATTAATGTGCCAAAACACGTGTGGATTGGAGGGCTCAAAAGGTCAAATAATGGCATTAATCTTCCAAAGGAAGAAGTCACCAGGAAATTGGAGAAGTCCTTTCATACAAGACAAACAAATCATCTGACTTTGGTTGCAGTTTGCGTGGATGAGTTCCATGTCATTACCTAAGGAGTGGACTTTTGTGTTGGAATTATCACAGCACAATAATTATTTTATCTGGGATTTGTTGTACTTATAAATCAGGAGGTGTTGACGTAAGACTTACTTGATTATGATGGATTCTCCTAATGGTTGAATTAATCATGATTTAATGATATGTTGTAAAGTAAATTAATTGATTATAAGAAGCAGCTTACAACAACTTAGTTGACTAATGATACTTGTTATCCAATTCCTGAAAAATGGTTCTTCTTAAAATTAAAAATGCCTATTAAATGTGAATTTTTCAGCAACAAGCATAATAATTGATGATGATGATGATGATGATGATGATGATGATTGTTGGTGAATTGATGCGTCGTAACTGATGAATCAGCATGACCTGGTCCACGGGTCGATATCGGGAGTCTATGGTCGGCTTCGCTGGTCGTCGAAGTCGGTCATACCCTCAGGACGAGGTGCTGGTAGTAGAGTGTTGGTGTCTCTCAGTCGGGATGATGATTGTGGCTCTATGGAGGTCGCTTTCTTGCACATAAGGCCCTCATCGATTGGTTACCGACTTTGGCTCTTTCGACGATCAAGTCAGTGCTTGGTATGGGTTTTTGCTTTTTCCCCTCCTCTAGGCCAGATGTCGACCAGGGGTTTTTATACTACTGTACGAGGGTCGGCCATACGCGGACTTGGTGTGGCGGTCGATCCTCGAGGGGTGAGATGGTACCTTTGTGTGGTTGTCATCTCGGTACATGCGGAATGACGTCATATGGCACCGTCCCGAGCTTTCCGGGATGACGACCGCACAAAGGTACCATCTCACCTCTCGAGGATCGATCGGCACACCAAGTCCGCGTACGACCGACTCAAGTAATGCCTTGGTACGGATTCTGGCTTGACGCGTGGGGGTGCTCCTCTTAATGACTTGGTGGTGGCGTGGCGTGGCATTAATTGTGATGTAGCCCTGACCCAAAATATACCTTATCAATAATAAAAACTTGTAAACCCGAATACCTTAAAAAAAAAAATACTTGACCCATTTTGATTCCTAAATTTTAGTTTAAATCATGGATGACATTTTAAATATCATGCAATTAAGGAAATAGCATCGTTTATGTACAGAATAATGGAAGGGGTTCCTAAATTTCATCATTGTTTACGTTTTATCTCCCATCCCTATTTAGACCATACGATGGTGAAAATCACCATCGTGGGTGGGGAACCCATAGTGTCTCCATATTTTATTTAATTAATTAAATTTATATTTTAAAAAATAAAAATATCATTAAGAATAATTAATAATATAAAATTTTATAAATTTAAATACAAGATTGATTTATTAGTTACTGTTCCAATGTTGGAGTTATCGAGTGGAATTCTTAAATATGTATATATTTATTTATATTATTATCGGTAATATATAATATAAAATGAAGTAAGAATGAATAGAATACTCTTTGTATCTTTCTCCGTATGGGTAATAGAAAATGACCCTTATTTTTATTTAATTCTTGTTAATTTTTATCTCCGCCCCATTAGCGATGGATCCATATGAGTACTCGTACTGGTAGGTATAATTAACAGAGATATAATTAGATTATTATTTAATTTACATGTTATTATTTACACCAACTTTGACGTAGCATTCCATATTGATGTTTATTTTCTTTGCACTTGCGCGTTGAAACGAGGGTGGATGGGATGGCAACAGATGAGGAGAAGAAGAAGAAGAAGAAGAAGAAGCCAAAAGGGTCTCTCTCTCTCTCTCTCTCTCTCTCTCTCTCTCCCTGTCCTTCTCCCTCTCCGAACGTAACGTAAAAGACTGACAACTCGATCATGTCTTTATTGGCCGGACTTGGCAAATGACTAGGCCAACCTTTTTAGGGTTACGCCATGCGGTCTATGAATCATGGACATGTCCAAGAAGACGCCCTGCGTGTTCTCTTTTAGATCAACGAAATCACCTGCATCAACTCTCTCGACGTTAGATTCCACTCCTCCTTCCCACCATTTGATGTTATTTTGTCGACTATTCTAAGTCTTTCAAGCTAAGTCAACTCCTTATTATAATTAAATTAATACATATTAGTCTGACTTAAACACCGAAGAAGATTATTTTTTATTTATTTTATTTGTCTTGATAATAATTTTGCTAGCTTGTAAGATGTGCTCGTTCAAAAGATTTAGTTAGTAAATAGAAATAGGATTGTGTGGTATTTTCATCGGTAAAATTGATAGTACGTGAAGAAATAAGATTAAATATTTTAATTTCGTAAGTATAAAATTTTTAATATAACTTTTAAAAATATAGAGATTGAAATACTAAATATAATTAATTATAAAAAATCCTATAATTAGTCTGATATTAAAACTATAACTTTTACAAGATGCTAATTGCCCTTAAAAAAAAAGATAAGTATATATTTGGTACATCAAACTCACAACACTTACACTCTAAAGAATGCAATGAAACTTAATTTATTTGTTCTTAATTATAAGAAAATTAGTGTCAGACATGTCATTGACAATGCATGAAGAATTTGTTTTTGTTTTAATACTATCTGTTTACTTTATTTTACTTTATAAATAAAATATTTAAAAAAATCAGAAAATCAACGTAAAAGACCTTTTGTTTGTTAATCTTTTTGGTTTCTTATTGTTCCTAAATCTCTTTATAAACTTTGTTTCTTTTGCGAGTCTGAGTTTTGTTAAGTAAAAAATTATAATATTTTTGTTAGTTCGACATTACCTTGATTCATATATGCAAAATAGACTAAGACGTAAAGCGTCTCTTCTCGGTATGTTACCGGTACAAAAATTAAAGTTAAGAGAATTTTTTCGAGTCGATTTTTTCGACGCTTAAGTTAGTCCATAGATCAACTTTGTAAGTCTATGTCGTAAGCGTCTTAAATTGTCTCTTGGACTCTTATCTGTGTGAGTAAGTGGGTGACAGATCATTTGGACCTTTTTCTCTTTAGACGTTAAGTGATGTTTATACGACGGACAATGACTGATTTATTACGAGGGAAAAAAATTAATTTTTTTTTAGAAAAAAAAGTCATGATTGATGATAAGGTGGGAACAACAGCCGGTTGAGCCCATCAATCAAAGACGGTGGGATGGTCAAACCACCACAATCAAATTCCTTTGGGGGAATAAACAATATGCAATGTGATAGTATGACACAGCATCATGTCCTATGGTAGATTTGGGCAGCACCATGATGTCTAATAATAGACACTATTATATCTCTTTGATAACTCCTCTCTCTCTCTCTCTCTCTCTCTCTCTCTCTCCATCTTTTCTTTTTTCATCTGCCTTCCATTTTCTTTTTACCCATCAAAATAAATTCTAAAATAAAGAGTCCAATGCAAAGTAAAATAACTTCAAATAAGAAATTGCTGTTTTTTTTCCTCATCAAAGAAGTCAAACTCAAAAGTCAAAATAACTCCGACATTTCCACCACGGTGAGGGGGTATTTTGGAGGTCGGATGGGCCGCCACGAATCCAACCTCAAGCTGACGATGGTGCAGACTTTCCTCCTTTCTTCCTCGCGTCAAACGATACCTTCGTCGTCTTCCTTCTCCCCCCCACCGTATTCCACCCCCTTCCTCTGTTTCTTTCACCAGTCACTGTCTGGAGGAACGATATAGAGAGAGAGAGAGAGAGAGAGAGAGAAGAAAGTTCCAGTCTTTTGGTTCCCCACCTCATCGCCATCGCCTACATCTACCGGTCCCTTACGAAGCCGCGGGATTCCTTGATGGGCGTGTGATTTACTGTTTGGTGGAGCGGAGGCCATGGGCAATTGCTTCAACTGTCCATCGAGGGTCGAGAACTCCGCACATCGCGCTTCCTGTGAGTGTCGAAACCTGTTCTTTTTGGTTCGATTTGTTGCTTAAAGTTGTCATCTTACATCTGTTCCTCGCGGAATTCTGCTCAATTTTTGGGTTGTTGATGTAATCTTTCCATCTTTTTTTCCCCCACTGAACAGATCCTTCAAACATTGGTACCAGCAGAAGAAGTGTGTCGTCAAATCTTTCTGCACCTTCCTACAAGGAAAAGACTGGTGGTGCTCTTCCTGCTTCAAGAACTGAGGGGGAGATCTTGTCTAACTCAAATTTGAAGGCCTTCACCTTTAATGATCTAAGAAATGCCACCAGAAACTTCCGCCCCGACAGTCTTATTGGGGAAGGAGGATTTGGCTATGTCTACAAAGGTTGGATCAATGAACAAAACTTTGCTCCTTCCAAGCCGGGATCAGGCATGGTGGTTGCTGTCAAGAAACTTAAACCTGAAGGATTCCAAGGCCACAAGGAATGGCTGGTAGGACAGGTTTTCTTCTCTCTTTGCGCCATGCATTCCTTGGTTCTTAACCTTTTCTGGTGATTGATTGCAGACAGAGGTTAACTATCTGGGTCAGCTTCATCATCCAAACTTAGTTAAGCTGATCGGCTACTGTTCTGAGGGTGACAATCGACTTCTGGTCTATGAATTCATGCCTAAAGGCAGCTTGGAAAACCATCTCTTCAGAAGTGAGTCACAACTGTTAATTCTTCATCCAACATTGCTTATTGCTTATTTTAAGAGATATAAACTCGAATCAATGTTGGAATATTAAATCAAACTTTGTGAATAGATAAAATTTTGGTTTGAGACTTGGAATTCATATTATAGTTGGAGTCAAAATCTTGATTTTATCCCTCTGTAAATATAAGGGTCCATGTAATACTTTAGATATACAATTGAAAGAAGAGATAAAAGTAGAGTCAAAAGAGTTGCAGAGATTAAAGGTGTTCTAGAGATTGTAAGTTTTCATATTTAATATCATGGTTAGTTTTTGAAGTGTCTCCTCTATGATTTTTTGATGTCCACCATCTTTTTGTGAGAATTTTTCAACAAAATGTGAAGTATAAAAAATATATCCATTTCCAAAACAAAAAAAGCTGGTCTTCGTATATGCTGAAGAAAAAAAATTACAACTATCAAGTAGTCTTGGTTATTGACATTGGTTTTATGGTCTTCTTATAGGAGGTGCTGAGCCACTACCCTGGGCAACTAGGATCAAAGTTGCAATTGGAGCTGCAAGGGGGCTCTCATTCTTGAATGATGAGTCCCAAATCATATATCGAGATGTCAAGGCTTCTAACATTCTTCTTGACACGGTATGTTGGCAGGAATGGGAGATGGGCAGAAGTATCATGGAATTTGGTTTGCAGACTCGTACAGCTTATTTTTCTCTTCCACGATGCAGGATTTTAATGCAAAGCTGTCAGACTTTGGATTGGCAAAAGATGGTCCTACTGGTGATAAAACTCATGTCTCAACTCAAGTGATGGGAACTCATGGATATGCTGCTCCAGAATACATTGCAACAGGTTGGATCTCTATGTTAAATCCTCTCACATGACATCAAGTATTTTGGGTTTCTTAAAACCAAATAATTTCTTGATTACAGGGCGGCTCTCTGCAAAAGCTGATGTCTACAGCTTTGGGGTTGTGTTACTGGAGCTGCTCACCGGACGTAGAGCCCTTGAGAAGACAAAAGCTGGCACAGAGCAGAGCCTTGTGGACTGGGCAAAGCCTAGCTTGGGTGATAAGCGTAAGTTATACCGGATCATGGACCCAAGGCTGGAGGGGAAGTATCTGAAGAAAGGAGCTCATGAACTTGGCATCCTCGCTCTCCAGTGCATCGGCAAGGATGCTAAACGTCGGCCTCGGATGTCCGAGGTCTTGGCCTCCCTGGAGAAACTGCAAGACTCAAAATTTGGTGCTTTGCCACCCCAAGCTACTCGTCCGAAGACGTCAAGTACGATACCGAGGTCACCTATGAGGAATCCCCCTCGCTCACCGCTGCGCCCAACACCAATCGGATCTCCTCTTCCGTCCTACCGGCGATCACCGCATGTATATTGATCGGTAGAAGCTTAGTTGAACTTGTCGGTGATGACAGGGAAAGGGAAGTGAGGCTTTGTGCTTTCAAGAATGCAATCACCTCTGTGCAGATCAGCCGTCATGGAAACCTGTTGCTTTCTTGAAATATGTTGATTGAAGTTTGCCCATGTATACAAAGATTTGTTATGGATCTCCTGTATAACATGTAACAAAGAGTTGATACGTCCAGAGTTTTTGTTCTTATGGATTGGATCATCTTTTGCTTTAATGTAGATGCTCTCTTAATCAAGGCTTTATTAATTAGTGATGTAATTATTTAGTATAAAGTAACAAATAGATTATTAGAAGAGAATTGTTAAAGTCTCGTACACAGTGTTATTATTTATTTCATCTTTTAAGTGTTTTTGATATTACAATAAGTAATCATTGACCGATTACTTATTTGGTAGGTTAATTTGAAGGGATCATATTTACTTCTTTGATTCATGTGAGTCTATATTGGATTCAATTTGTCGTACAATCGATTAATCATCAGACAATATTCTGTAAGGAATCCCTTATAGAAGTCATAATTTGACAACATGATATGTAATGATGTGTTCAGAAATGAAAACACAAAAAGGGATGTAAGATGATTGCAATTCTCAGTGAGAAGTCTTTTTTCATGATACTTCATAATCACTCATTTATGTTTGCCTTCTGAACTTATGGGAACATGATACAAGAATATTTTGCCTTTCATTGAAATCTAGGAAAAATTATACAGACACAATCCATTATAACTAAAGGACATACTCCCCTATCCCAAAATTTTGAGGACTTGTGCCCTTCGATAATACAAGGATCCCAGAATTGAAATCAACTCCTTATCCAATGTACATCTATTATGCATATTACACGACTAGCTATTTGGATCGGATATGATGCAGCATAAGATGTAAACAACTCTGCTCAAGATGACCTTAATCATTTCCATCATTGGTCGACAGTAGGGTGATATCCGGTACATATCCAACATCTTTGATAAGTTTTGTTAGCCCATCCAACATGAAGTAGATCAAGTCTGCTTGCCGGTGCTCCCTACCTCTAGCGATGAACACATGTACCTCCTTCATCACTTCGATCCAACTATATCCTGGTTCTTTTGATGCCAAACTGCAATCCATTCCCTTCCTAACCTTCTCCGCATCGACCCACATTCCCTTGGAAGCAAAGATATTTGATAATAACACATAAGGTCCACTGTCTTTGGGGTTTGCTGATATCGCCATTTCAGCTGCATACTTTCCCAATTCGACATCACCAGACACTTGACATGCACTAAGCAAGCTCCTCCAAATAATTGCAGCTGGCTCAATTGGCATTTGCTCAATAAATTCCTTAGCCTCGAGCACCTTTCCTGCTCTACCCAAGAGACTAACAACAGAAGCATAATGTTCAATTCCTGGTACAACCCCATATTTGTCTCTCATAGAATAGAAATGATGCAGCCCTTCCTCAACAAGCCCTGCATGGCTGCATGCTGATAGCACACCAACAAATGTGACATAGTTTGGTTCAATTTCCTCATCATGCATCAGCTGAAAAATCTTTAGGGCTTCTTCAGCTTGCCCGTGTTGTGCATATCTTGAGATCATTGAGTTCCAACACACAACATCTCTTCCACGCGTTGAATCAAATAATCTCCATGCCTCAATGATGCAACCACATTTTGCATACATGTCAACAAGCGCATTCGAGACATGGGGATCCAAATCTACTCCTGCCTTAATGATCAAGCTATGAAACTGTAACCCATGGAATAGGCTTGCAAGATTACTAGCTACAGTGACCAGTGCAACAAAAGTGAATTCCGTAGGTGTCAAACTGGAAACTTGGAGTTGATGGAAGAGCTTGAGGGCCTCTTCCCCTTGCCCATTCTGAGTGTACCCATAAATCATCGCATTCCACACCACGAGATCCTTGTTTTCCATCTCATCAAAAATGGCTCTCGCATCATCAACAAATGAGCACTTAGAGTAAACATCAACCAGAGCGCTACCTGCGAATAAGTCCAATGCTGCTCCAAATTTGATCATAAGGCTATGAAACTGTTTGCTCAAATCCACAGCTGACGATGATGCAGATACACCAAGTAGGCTCACAAATGTCAGAAGGGTTGGATTCAATGTTCCGGATCTCATCCTGTTGAACAGACTAACCGCCTCAACCAGCTTCTCATGCCTGGCATATCCTTCGATCATGGCATTAAAAGAGATCACATTATGTTCGAATATGACATCAAAGACGACTCTCGCACAATCCAAAGAATTGCATTTGGCATACATATCAAGAAGCCCATTCTTAACATACTCATCGGCATCCAAATTCGCCTTGATGGCATATCCATGCACTTGCTTCCCTTGCAGTAAGGCCATCAAGGACCCACAAGAACTGAGAACACTTGTGCAAGCAAATCTATCTGCCTGCCATCCTAATTGGGTCATTTCTGAGAACAAATCAATCGCTTCAGAATCTAATGAATTTTGCATGTACCCAGCAATCATTGTGGTCCATGAGACAAGGTTTCTGACGCACATCCGATCAAACAGCCCTCGTGCAGTTCGTACTCTGTCGCACTTGCAATACAGGTCAATGAGAACATTGTTGATCGAAATATCCATATCGGTTCCGCCCCTGTACAGATGACCATGGATTTGCCTTCCGCCTTCAAGAAAATCTTCAGCCGAACAAGCACTGATGACACTCGAAAGAACAAACCTGTCGGGCTCAACTCCCGACTCCCTCATTTCATCGAATAGCTCCAACGATATCCAGCTTTTCCCTACTTGAGAATACCCTGTGATGACTGCGGTCCAGGTGACCGAGTTCCTCACCGGCAGCTCATCGAATATTAACATCGCCTCATCCATGCATCCAATTTTCGCATAGAAGTTGATCAATGCAGTACCCACAAATACGTCCGAACAGAAACCAGTCTTTACGACAAGATCCTGAACTTGGCAGGCAAAACTGTCCGCACGCAACTGGACGCAGGCACGAAGGACGCTGGCGAGGATGAACTCATTAGGGCACCCGAAGGAGGACCTCCGGAAGCGCGAAAAGAGGGCAATGGCTTCCTCCTCTCGTCCATGCTGCGCACACATGGAGATCATCGTGGACCAAGATATTAGGTTAGTCCGGGGCATTCTGTCGAACAGCTGCCGGGCTTCTCGGAGGCGGCCCGCCTTGGAGTAGCCATTGAGGAGAAGGTTGTTCAAGAAGAGGTCGGATTCGACGCCAGCGACGACGGATTGGGCGTGGATGGGGGGGAGGCGGCGGCGGTGGGTTCGATCGGAGATGCATGACTGCAAAAGACGCACGAGGTTTTGGGCTCTCGGAAGCAGGTCGTACGCTGCCGATTTAGAGCTCATAAGGCCATATCATAACGAGCACGCGCGCGTGCGTGGAAGTTGGTTCGCGGTGTGCGCTTTTATGGGTGACAGCGGCGTACCGGTTCAGCACGGACCGAACCCGAATCGACCAACATCAGATCTATCAAGCAATTGTGTTCTGCCACTGAGCTCATTTCGTAGAATTGATCGGCTCATTTCAAGCAAACATTCTGGACTATTCGAATCGATCGTAGTGGAGGGCTCGACCGTTTTGATAAGTCGGATCGGATCCAAATTGATTAGATTCATCTCATGATTTTTAATTGACGACCCGAATACTTTTGTAAGTATTATTACTTGGCATCTATTATGGGTTTAAATATCCAAATAATTGATTAAAAACTCTATCTTATTAGATTTTTTATATAAATTATTTATTTAACTATTTAATATTTTTATTTAATAATTCTAAATATGACTCGAAGTCTCTATATTGATACCCTCGTTAAAGCACAATGTATTTACGATGTTTAAATGCTAGAACAACTCTAATAGTACGTATGGTCTAAGATACTTAAATTAAAATTAATAATAATATATCAATTAAAGAGTTCATCGACCAAAAAAACATAATATATATAATGAAATGGAAACAATATTTCAGAACAATATATGCTATTCACCTTCAAAATCTCTGGTAGGTACTACAGAGGTAGACTCCACCACCATAATCTCCATGCAGAAGTATGACATATCACCAACAATCCACCTTGCATAGCAATAACTTTCTAATAAGGTGTCCTTAAGGTGAGCAAATTGGATATATCCCAATGAATGGAAGACAAACTTCCTAAATCAGCAACATAGATATGATATATTTCCTTCAAGGATAGCATCACAGTTACAGAAAACCAGACTTCATGAATGGTCACTATGAATAAACTAAAGAAAAAGCTAAAATATATTGACATTGGATCTTATAAGATTGAAAACAAGTAAAGCAAACTTTAGCCTAAAAGCCAAGACAGAGAAAACAGCAAATATTGAGAATCAAGATAGAATAAATGCTTCTAGCAATATCCTTAGACTTTTCATCCGCATGGCCTTAATTCTAAGTCACAGAGTTCCTCCTCATTGTAGATGATGCCATTGAATGAAGATAAGGTTCATACACCTGAAGTTGACAGCCATGTTTACTTTCCAGTACCTGTCAATCCATCTAAATGAGAAATGATCTTATTCATTGTGGGATAATTTCTCTGCATGATCAACAATTGTTGTTTAAGCTCTACTATTTCTTGCAGAATTTTGAGTTACTATTTGTGAGGAACAAACAATTTCAGTCAGTGAGTATATAAACATTAGAACAAAGAAAACAATCAGGAAGACCTTTAACATTGCAATTAAATCCATAATTTTGTGTGTAGATAGATCCAACTCTCAGTATTAGACAGAATTTTGAGGCTCAAAGCCACTGCACCACCAAAAATTCCCAATGGATTTGATGTCACAAACCTGCTGGTAAAGGTGAAAGGAAGGAAGGAGAGAAGGAAACCCCAAAGGTCCATGAAAGATCCCGCATTTGAGCTCAAAACCCTCTCGGCCCGCCGCCTCTCTTCTCCTCCGACCCCCTTTGCGACCCGTCGGCCATCGAGAGGCAGTAGTCGGCGATCTCCCGGAACTTGGGCACGCTCCGGAGGTCCACCTTGGTGCCGTCCTTGAGGGTGATCACCAGGTCCCCCCACTCGCCGATGAATCTCGGCACCACCTGCACGTCCTGGATGGAGGAGTAGGGGAAGTCGCTGCGGTCCTGGCCGGTGAACCCGGAGATGACAGTGACCCGGCGGGTGGTGAAGCGGTAGCGGAGGAAGAAGGCGCGGGAGACGGCGGCGAGGGTGAGGGGGAGCCAGAGGAGAGTGAACCCGAGGAGGAGGTTGGCGAGGAGGTCCCCGTAGTGGGCGCCGCCGTCGAAGAAGATGCGCTCCTCCTCGGCGGCGGCGGAGCTAGGAGGAGATTTCGGGGAGAGTGTCCGGGAGGAGGAGGACGACGACGAGGAGGAGGAGGAGGAGGAAGAGGCGAAGAGCTTGGTGGTGGGGGGTCGGGCGCCAGCAAGGGTTTTGGAGGGAAAGGAGTGGTGAGAGACGGTGGGAAGGAGGGTTTTAGCCGCGGAGGACGGCGGCGGAGAGAGGAGGACAGCGGCGGCGGCGGTTGCCATGCTTTCTAGATTTGGCGGGCTTATCCATAACCGTGAGCTATATGGCCAGGAGACGAAGTGGGCAAGCTTCCTATTGGTGCCGGATCTGCTGCGAGACCTGCTCCACTCGATCACTTACCCACGAACGGAATGAAGCCGCGTGCTATGACATTGGGCCAGACTCGTTTGATTTTGACCTGATCGGCTGGACTTTTGGATTGAGTGGAAACCCAATTTGGGCCATCATAAAATCGATTCAAAACCCAAATCGACGCCAGTCTAACCCTATATCCCAATCTCTTTCTCTAGTGTAAATTATAATGTTAATTCTATATTAATCACTTCAACATTCTCATATACATCAAAAGCTTTACGTCCTATATATATCTCCTCCAAAGCAAAATCCATGTGATCAAAACAGGCATGAATTAGTATAACAAAGAATGATGAAACTTTCCACAGTTTGAATGAATCACAATGACAATCTAGCTTCTAATGTTGAGAGAGAGAGAGAGAGAGAGAGGATGCAGTTCCTCCCTGAGCATTTTTTCTGCAGCCACATGAAGGGCTTGTGGATGAACAAACAACAGAGCATGAAGATGAGGAGTTCCAATCTCTTGATCCCAAACAGGAATCTTGTGAGAAAGAAGAAGCAGCAGGACCACCAAGTATGAGTTATTTGAAGTACTGAGGACATTTCAGTAATGAGTTGTTGCGAGGCCACATACAAACATGTCTTCGTGCCCCATCTCCAATGTGCTCAGCACATGGCCACACAATGCGCAATCAAACAGCTGAGTACAGAAGGGAGGGGCATTCTGATCGAGAAGATAGGCCAGAATAGTTGGCAGCACATGTGTGAGGGAAGAAAGCAATCCCCCCCAACACCATGCTCCTCAATATCAGAGAAATTATCTGTAACGATGGATCTTGCAAACTTGTTTATCTGATTGCTGGTTGACTTCAGCTGCTGATTCATGAGCACTAGCATCTGATGGTCAACTGGTCCACCCTATCATTTGTTCTCTCACTGATCAAAGAAGAATCAGTACCTCTAATCGAGGATGATCTGTTCATCCTCAGCTGTGATCATGTTATCATGCCACCTAACGTGCATGATCCCCTCTAATTCCAGGTTGACTTTTATGACATCATGGGAAATCTCAACCTGAGTTCTCATCTGACCTTGTTTTCATAGGATCATGATGTGAAACCCTATCTACCTGGGATCAGTTCTTGATCACCTCTGATGTCTTTTTTCTATTTATGTTCCCCATCCAATTAGTGTTTTTGAGATCAAATTACAGCAACAATTCTATGATAGGTTTTCTTGTGCCTTTCATTCTGGTTCATCCACTTTTGATAGCAGACAGCCACTGCATCAAACAAGGAAGCTTGTGATCCAGCATAGAGAAGCCTTCAGGGAGCTCCCCCTCTCTTGAGATAGCTGAACAGCAGAGCGTATTACTGGCAGCTTCATAGCCATGAGAGAAGACTAGGTCAGTGTGCTTCCACATGGAGCTGAGGCCACTCTTCACTTACATAGCAGTCCTCATCAACATGAAAAGAACAGCTCCACACTGAGCCCTCCCAATCGAGATGAGGATTGCCATTGCAGCGCAGCTGATTAGAGCTTCCATACATTTTGGATAGGCTATAATCATAAAGAATTCACTGGACATGACTAATTATGCGATGAAGTTCCTCAATTCTGGCAAGATATGTCATTCAAGAAAATGAACTCAGAGCTCTCAGACTCCAAGAAGTAATCATTGCTGGCATCCTCAGAGCAAGGCAGATGGACAGAGATGTCTGTGATTGTGAGTGCCCTGACCCACCCACTCTGATTCCCTGAACGAGAGCACGACGCCATGTCTCGTGAGCTGTGATCACAAGCCCTTGATCTACTCTCTCATTGACTTTCATGCCTAAAGGTTTTGACTACTGTGTCTCTGTCTCTCGCTCTCAGCATACAAAGTAGAAATTTTCATTCTTGGACCATATTTCGAAGGCGAGGATGGAATTCTATCTTTTTGAGAATCTGAAGCATTTAATCGTTGCAGAAATTCCGGTCACCATCTCATCCAGTACACGGTGCAGTTTCTATCGAGGAAACAGTACCCGTGATGTCGAGGATGATTTCAGAGAACTACTGGGTTTCTAGTGTTTGATGAGTAGTTCTTGAGATTGTTAGCTGCAACAGTGAGTTATGAGCTGATGTTTCTTTTCGGTGTTCAGTCAGCAAGATGTTCCGGAACAGTAGAAATGAGATCTGAATCCCACGAAATAAGGAAAACAGTTCATGATGAACCTAGAAAATTCAGCACAAGACTGCTCCGTTGCACCACCATCACCATCAGAATAGTTTGCAGGTTAGTGTTGACAGTGAGTCACATGCCTCTCTTTCTTATCTAAGAGTAGGACTTTTCCTCTCAGGCCAAAATGGGGTACGGGTTAAAGGTCGTCTTCCACTGTCAGCAAGATATTACTACCAAAACCAGTGACAGTCTCCTTTCCACACACCTTGTTTTCTTCCTCATGTTCTTTCCTCTCAGTTTCTTTCTTTCCCCTCTTCTTTCGTGCTATTCCTCAGAGATATCTCCATGCTCTTCTCTCTCTCTCTCTCTAGCGGCATATGCTTCATACTGCTCGAACCTTTATGCTTCTGAATAGGTTCGGTGACGATCTTTCATTGAAAAGAAGAGTAGTTCAAACGACAAGTCATGATGGAAAGAGCTTTCAGAAAAGTGAATGAACCTTTTTGATGCATGGTCCATGTGGCAGCCAAGAACAGACTCTAATAGCTCTAAAGCTCTTAGCTTTTGTAGCTGAACTTTCTTGAGAACATCTGAAAAGATGCATGTTCTTAGCCTTCCAAGAACAGTTAACTACAAGCAACATGAAGTGAGAGAGAGAGAGAGAGAGACAGAGACAGAGACAGAGAGAGGGAGTTCATGGAGTGTACAGGAGCTACAAACGAAACTAGCCAACAGAAATACGCATGTAAACTTAGTTAAAACTGATGGTATCACTCAGCACAGGCGAGAAAAGGGAAAAAGAATGGGAATACAAATACTGAAGCCTGTCTTCTCAGATTTTCCAACCTTATCTGAATCAAAAGGCGATCTTTTTTGCTCATGCACATCTCATATATGTAGTAGACTTCTGGTGCTGCTAATGCAGCATAGCTTTCACAGTTGGGCACGCAGGTGGAGAGTAATTGGGAGATCTCTTTATACATCAAACCGACGCATCAGTGGAAGTTGTGGTGATCCGACCATGACCAGAAGGAGGCAGATTGATCTTCCATACTGCATAACAAGTTGCTGAAGCTCCCTTCGGTGACGCCATTCTCGATCTTGGGGCATTGCATGTCTGGCCTCGAGCTACTCTGAAGGAGCTGGTCTATGTCGGCAGGCCTGATTGATTGGAAGAAAGGTAAGCTTTGGTGAGGGTGCAAGGGGCTCTCGGTGACCGATGTCCTCGAGATATCCAAGTTGATCTCGGAGCTGTTCTCGCTCCTGTTGCTGCAAGAGGCTTCAGTTTCTTTGTTGAGGTTGATGAGTTCCGATGTTTCTCTGCCTTTGAGAGCCATGATCTGCATAGCCAAGAAGAGCTATCTATTAGACCCAATCACTGGAAGGCTGAAATCCTCCTCAAAAGCCTCGAGCAAGGAGTAATTCGAACCAGATCTTGTCAAGACCAATACGAGAATCGAGTAATTTAGGAGGCCATACCTCGGCCTGGAGCTTCTTATTCTGTGATTGCAGAGCTTCATTTTCTGATCTCATGGCCTCGAACTGCCTCTTCAGCAGGTCGTAATCCTTCTCCAATTGCTTCGTCTTCCACCTGGCCCTCCTGTTCTGGAACCAAATGGCCACCTGCCTGGGCTGCAATCCCAGGGCTCGGGCCAGCTGCATTTTCCTCTCCGGCTCCAGTTTGTTCCCCAGCTCAAAGTTCTTCTCCAGCATCCTCACCTGCTCCATGTTCAGCCTCCTTTTCTTCTCCCCTGTCTGCATGCCGTCATCGGATAACTCGTCCTCCCCGTTCATCCCTTCCCCGTTCTCGATCCCCGAGAAGGACATGGACCTCCTCCCCAGCATCGGACCCACGGCTGCACCATTCCAGTCGGTTTAGTTTCACTTCCAAGGAGTCAGAAATGGATGGAGATGTACAGAAACCCACCTCGGAGGTCTTGGAGATTGCTGCACGGGGTGGCGCGGAGGAGTTGCCGTTCTTCTTCTTCTTCTTCGTGTGGTGTTTGCATTTGCAACACATAATCCGGTGTGAAGAAGGAGGATGAAGCCATCACGCCACCACAGGACACCAGCAAAGGAGAAGAAGATGAAGATGGAGGTTGAGGTTGAGGTTGAGGTGGCGAGAGATCAAATAGAAACCGATCGCCGTATTACCACAACAACAACAACAACAACAACAAGCAGAAGATGAAGTGAATGGTAATGTCAAATTCCTCAACCTCCGATGCGAAGAGGCAAAAGGAAGCTGTTTGACTATGAACAACAACTCATCATCATGTAATCACATATGATCTCACTACGCTCCATGAATTCACAGCGAGAAATGCAATTTGTAGGCATCTGTAAAGGTGGTGGCCCTAATGGTAATGGAGAAAGGAAGGGCAGGAATCTAGGGATGGGTCCTATGAGCTCCCAGGGTTGCTACCTAACACACATACACCTCTCATGAATCATCCATCACCTTCCTGACGCTGATGCATCGAAAGAAGGCTTAAGGCGAAGATTAGACCCACTTTAGCCTTCAATACTTTGATCCCCCACAAACAAGCCTTGGTTTGGTTGCTAGCTCGGTGTCATGTCACATCCCGCTCTTCCGCGCTATCCATTATGGTGCACCTCATCTTTCCATGTTCACACACGTAGTATCGGTCACGCGATGTGATCGCTGACTATTGACCCACCTGCAAGGAATTGGATAGATACCGTCTTTAACTATCGAAAGTCCACAATAAATATAGCTGCATTATATTATATGGTCTGAGAATGATTCATA